TTATTGTCCTCCAATTCATCCCCACAGAGGCTACATTCAGTATTAGTTACACACCATTTAGCCATTCTTGCCTTGGTTAATAATCTATCTCTCATTAGCAACCAAAAAATAAACTGCACCTTAGGGGGGTGGTCTTATTCCATACCCATTCCCCTGAAGCCATTCATACCCCTTTCTCACCTCAAAACTCCCATCTGACTGCATCTCCCTAAACCTATCCCTTACTTTTACCATCTGTCTCCAATAATGGCAGGAGCTAGGTTTAGGGATGTAATCCCAATAATTAGCAGATTTAATATACCTGGAATGTATCCATTTCACCCAAAGTACATCCTTCTTGTTGGCTATTGTTAGCCTTGGTTTGCTAAGCCTCATGTTTTGATGTTAACAAACAATATAAGAGCTTGACGTGTGTTTAAGTGTTTCAGGAACAACAAGAATCTATTAAGATTCGGTACTCAAGAATGAACTAAACTAGCATGAAATTTAGGTAGAAAACCAATGTAATAATATGATTTTATATACCTATATTCACAAGCTCAAAAGCACTCACAAACTATGTTTAAAACCGTCCAATAAACATTTTCAAATACCCAAAAGGTTTTCAACTCAAACACGAAGGATTACAGGAATTTTGGAAAAATCAGGACAGTGGCACGGTACCCCTAGCGGTACCCCAAACGGTAGGGTATACCGCCTACACGGTACCCCCATACCGTGTAACGGTACCTTGGTACCGTACGGTAGGCTGGACGGTCAGCAACCCCGTCCTAACTAGGTACCGCCAGAACTGGATGAAGTTTTTTGTGCTACACGGTACCGAGGTACCGCCTCTCACGGTACCCCCTACCGTACGCACGGTACCATGCTACCGTGTGGACGGCACCTGCCTACCGGATCCGTTGGTAGCACTGTTCCTGATTGCCAATTTTGAATTAATTCAACTCTAATCACCTCCTAACAGCTAATTAACATCTTCCACTATAAATACAAGCCTAATCCTTCATATTTATTCAAGAAACAAAGCTCCAAACATCCTAATTTAATATTCTAAGTGTGTTCACTCCTTTATTAATTATTTTCTATATTTTGGCTATTTTAAGAGCCTTAAAATTCCTGATTTTTATACACACACTTTGAGCTTGTGTTTCTAGTTATATACTCTCATATTCATAAGTTTGAATTGTATTTTACTCTCTCATATGAAAGGAAGATGTGGCCGATTCAAAACAAGAAGTAAAAATATAAGTTCGGCAACACATCTTGAGAACAAACACAAGAAGTTTGTGTAGAAATATGCCAGCTCTTAAGCCGTTAAATTCTCATATTGTATCGGTCGAGGATAGCCGTTTAAATCCTTGGGTAAAGGTTCAAGGATAGCCTTTGAAATCTTTGGGGGAACGGTACAAGATAGCCGTTAAATCTTCATTGTAAACGGTTCGAGATAGCCGTTGTGAAATCTCGGAGTGAATCCTATTGGCAAGGGTTGTTTTCCAAAACTAGTGTGGTGCTTTGACAGAGTTCAAGAGGCCGAGACTTAGTGGATTCGGAAATCCTTGAGGAGGAGCCTCGAGGTACTGGAGTAGGGGTTTCCTGAACCAGTATAAAATCGGTGTACATTTTATTTACGCTTTTATTTTTGCGTTTTATATATTGCTTCCGCATTTGCCAACACCGTTTTTATCAAACTCCGAAAAGATTTTAAACGCCTTATTCACCCCCCCCCTCTAAGGCGTGGGCACAACGACTAAACCGACTAACATCTATGTCTTAATTTAATTTCATAATGGAAAACTTATTCCAATTTATGATGTTTCTCAACCCTAAACCCCCTCTGCTTTTAGGATGGCATAAAATGTCCCAACTCACTAAAGGAGATTTAGAGTATTCAGTTGTGCCACTCCAAAGAAAATTTCTGCATATGCTAGTGATCCTCTTAAGCACCATTTTGGGAAAAATAAAAATTCTAGCCCAAAAGGTGATGACCCCCATTAACATGGTATTGATAAGTCTGACTTTAGCACTATAAGAAAAATGATTAGATCTCCAGGCAGTAATCTTGGCAGTAAGTTTATCAACTAGCTTGTCACAATCAGAGGACTTAAGACGAGAGGTAGTAACTCGGCTGCCAAGATAAGTAAATGGTAGCTTACCTCTGATCATTCCCGTTATCCTGAGGAGGTTTTCCTGCTGCTGTGGTTTGACTCCTCCAAAGACCACTTGGGATTTGCTCGGGTTAATCTGCAACCCAGTGGCCTCCTTAAAAATCTCTAAAGCTTTCATAATGCTCTGAACAAAACCCTCATCCCCTTTGCAGACCACTATTAAGTCATTTCCAAACATGAGGCTTATGATCTTCATATCTGCACACATAGGGTGAAATTTAAATCCACCTTGACTAGCCACCCCCTGCATCAGCCTAGTGAGGTACTCCATAATTAGGACAAAAATAAGAGGGGAAATGGGACCCCCTTGTCTAATTCCTTTTTTCCCTTTGAAATAGCCATGATTCTCTCCATTGATACATAGGGAGTAGGTAGGGGTTGTTATACAGAACTGAATCCACCTTATAAATTCTATTGGGAAAAGCAACCCCTCCATTATTTTCAAGATTGCTTCCCAACTATTAGAGTCATAAGCTTTTCTTATATCTAACTTCATCATACACCTGGGTGAAATATTCTTCCTATTATAGTCCTGGGTAAGCTCTTGACATAGGAGGACGTTGTGAAGTAGTTCCCTTCCTTTAACGAAAGCTCCTTGGTTAGGGTTCACAATATAGGGGAGGACTTCTTTCAATCTGCCACTTATCAGCTTTGCTATAGTTTTATATACCACATTGCAGCACGCAATTGGTCTGTAATCTGCTGGGGAAATGGGGCTTTCAGTTTTGGGGATAAGGGTGATGTTAGTTGCATTGATCTGTCTTAGAGTTTTTCCTCTCTTAAAAAACTCCAGCACTGCATCTGTAACTAATCTGCCCACTGTACCCCACTGTTTTTTGAAGAATCCACTATTAAATCCATCGGGGCCTGGACTTTTGGAATTAGGAATTGAAAAAATCACCTCCTTCACTTGAAGAGGGGTGAACTCTTTGATCATCTCAATTTGGTGATAAACACCCAGCTTAGGGCCTTTATTCAGCATTGTTGAGTCAATTTCTTGGCTGGGGGTATAGGATCCCAGAAGGTTTTTGTAGTATAAGGTGAATATATCTGCTATCTGGTCAGTCCCTTCAATAATCTTATTATTCTCATCCTGTATACTGATCATGTAGTTCTGAATTTTCCTCTTCTTAACCCAAGCAAAGAATAATTTGGAATTCAAGACTTGTAAGCATGTTTGCCTTGTTTTAGTTAGTTAACTTTCTAAAAAATATGAATATCCCCCTCTTTCTAGAGAACATACATCGATGAGAGCTTTGGTGAGATCTGCTTCAATCTATCTCCCGCGATGTAGGTTTCCTGAATCTAAGTAATTGCAAGGCACATTGTCTTCATTGATAACATTTGAGCCCTTGATTTTGTTCCAAAAATGTATGCTCCTTGTATGTGATTGATCATCAATCTCTTTCACACTTGTTCTCAATTAGTGTCATATAACTCTATTAATTTACTTGATTTGATGTTGTTGTTCGCGTTCGCAGTCGATTTTGAAAATGTCGTTTTACCATATGTGAGCACATAACCTGTGTAGGATCACACTAAATTTGGTACTTCTGGACCAACTACTTCATCGCCCTCTTCTTCGGGCCAATTAAGATGTTCATGTATATCTATGATCGAACAACAATGGGGTATGTTCAACTGCTTGGTTTTTCCCATATTTGAACTTGTTAACATTTTCTAGATGTAGTTTAACTGTACTCATGGAGAAATGTCACATTACATATATGTTTGCAAACTGAAGCAAAATTTTGTCATGCAAAGATCTTTCATCTCAATATCTCTCTCAAAGAGTTCAACAGTTTTTCTTATATCTGTAAGAGATCATCTAATTATGTTTATATGTAAACTATTATAATAGTAAATTTTGAGAGTGATCCTTTTGATGAAAAACACTTGGTTGATTTCAAACATATGTCTACCTTTTTCGAGATATTCAGAGTCGATTGTAACAAACAATCAGATTACTTAAAATCATATAAGAAATTTTCAATTCCAATTATAGTTTTTATAAATTAGACCAATCCAAGCCCTTGAAAACTTCATCCCAACCCCTAAAAAATCATGACCAAAACGCTCTTAGTTATTCTTAGTCTAAGTCCAAATCCATATTTTCATAACTAGACGCTTAAAGAGCAATAAGTAACCAGACGCTTAAACTATGATTAGTTTAAGGCAATTAACAACCAGATGCTTAAACTATAATTAGTTTAAGGCAATTAATTTCCACACACTTAAGCTATAACTAGTTTAAGGCAATACATTTCCAAATGCTTAACTGTAGTCGATTAAGGCAATTCAATTCTTGACGCTTAAACTATAATTAGTTTAAGGCAATACATTTCCTGACACTTAACTTTAGTCAATTAAGACAACAACAAAATAGCGATTAATCATCCTCGGATTGGGGTATTCCCAAATGAGTGATCCTCTAGTTTGGTCTATGAATCCCTTTTATATATTTTATCCAAATCACCAAATATACTTATTGTCACAAGTCCATTTTAATCCGAAGTCTATCCTAGAGGTCTTCTAGATAGCCTCAATATCAATTATCTAAATGGATATATCTTAGAGTTCTTCTAGATACCCTATACATCATTTTCTTGCTCATTAATCTATTCATTATGAATCATGGTTCATTAATTCATAATAATCATTTAAATCGGGATAATCGAACAAACATATCTATTCACAGTTTCATTCTTACGGTTGTTTATTCATTCATTACCATTGATGGGTGTATTCCACCCACGACCGGTCAAAGAAGAAGACCAATTAGTTGACCGGTCAATCTCGAAAGTTTTGGAAGGAATACTTAAATTGTCAGCAAAACGATATATAATCGGCCAAAAGATGACCGGTATACTTTACGAAAAAGTATACCGGTCAAACTACGTTGTCATCCTATTTGTTCCCAGACTTCGATGAATTCACCCCTCGGAGATTACCCGGTGTAGTTTCTAGGGTTGGAAAGTGTCGGCAGAAGAGAATCTATGAGGGCTTGGCGTGTAGCGACCCATGTCAGTAGAGGACAACTGGAGATGCTGGAGAATCCATCCAAGGCACTACTCGACAAAGGGNCCCCCTCACAAGGCGACAAGGCAGCTCAAGGACGAAACCAGTCACCTCGCACCACATCAGCATCGTGCCCCCACGTGGGCGCACGTGGTCCTGTCCCCCCTAGCCTAGTATAAATACTCATGTAAACCTCAGAAAGAGGGATCCGAGTTCATTCTCTCTAAACTCCCTTGTAAAACACCCGTGCATTCTCCGTTATAATACAAACTGGGCTACAGGTGTTCCACCTAAAGTCCTACCGGTCAATCTGCGTGTTTTTTACCTTTCTTACTTTACCAAATCAAGCAAACTATTCTAGACCCGGTCTAGTGTAGTTTGACCAGTCAAGTAATTTACACCATCATTTTTGGCGCCGACCGTGGGATCGTTAAGGTTTCTTCTCCTAAACACAAACCTACCCACCAAAACACCACTCGAAATGTCTTCCAGCCAACAAATCAACGCTACTTCCGCTCATGTGCAAGCCACCAATGAGGGTACTAGCATCCCTGTGGCTGCCACCATACCGGTCATTTCAGCCCCGGTGTTGCCTTTGGGTCTGAGTTCTGTCCCAACGCCTAGCGTAATCAGCCCATTCACGACCCTCGTCCCTTCCGCTGGACCGAGGGTCACGTTCCCACCAAGCATGACTCAGTTCATGAATGACCCAGCCAACCTACAAGCCATCCAGGGCTTCGGTCAGGTCATGGCCATGTGCCAGCAAAATGGGGGGATGCCTTTCCTCCCTGGTATGTTCTCGTTCGCTCTTCTAGCCTGATAGTTGGGCAGGTGACCGGCAACATGGAGGCAAGAGAAGAACGCATGGCACAATACAAGGACCTTGTACTTGACCTGTTAAAAGGCTTCGAAGAGTTCAAGATCGCCCAAATTCCCCGGGCAGAGAATGCGGATGCAGACCTTCTCTCCAAGTTGACGCAGTATGCTCCCGAGCATGTTTCAAAACTTGCCCGGGTAGAGATCCTTGACCGTGCGAGCATCGAAAAATTGGAAGTCGCCGCTATAACGGCCGAAAGCCAATCTGACCGGTCAAACTTGGTCGGGGCGGACGACCATTGGGTGTATGATCTGATGGAATATTTGATGGATGGGAGCTTGCCAGAACAAGATGACCGGGCAAGAAAGGTGAAGCTCAGGGCACCCCGATTCCAGGTTCTTGATGGAAGACTGTATAAAAGGGCATTTGGGGGGCAACTCCTGAGATGTCTAACCAACCGGGAGGCTGAGCGAGTCATAGCGGAGGTACACGAAGGCGTATGCGCGGCGCATCAAATGTCCTGTACGCTTTCCCAACGCATCATCTTGTTGGGGTATTACTGGCCAACAATTGTCCAGGATTGTGAAAGGTACGTTCAGAAATGCAGGACGTGCCAAGTATTCTACAAGTATCCTGGTAGACCGGCGACCTACTATCACCCCGTATCAAACGTCATCCCGTTCGCTAGATTCGGGGTTGACATCATCGGAGCAATCCCAGTCGCCCAAGGAGGGAAGAAGTTCGTGATCGTAGCCATCGATTACTTCACCAAATGGATCGAGGCCGAAGCATTGGCCAACATCACCACGCAACAATGTAAGAAATTCATTTGGAAGAACATCATCACGAGGTTTGGAGCGCCCATGAACCTCATCACCGACAACGGCCCACAATTCCGAAATCCAAGATTCATCGAATACTTGGAGGGCTTCGGGATCAAGCACAATCACTCTTCGGTGGCGTACCCCCAAGGAAATGGCCAAGTCGAAAACGCCAACAGAACTATTTTAGATGGTTTGAAGAAACGGTTGGGAGAAGCAGGAAACAAGTGGCTAGAGGAGCTCCCGCACATCATATGGGCATTCCGAGTAACACCCAGGAGGGCTCATGGGGAAACTCCATTCTCCCTAACCTATGGGTGTGAAGCAAGGCTGCCCATCGAAGCGGAATTCCCCACGTTTCGGGAGTCAAATTATCAAACCCAGCAGAATGAGGAAGATCACTTGGCCGAACTCAACTTGGTCGAAGAGCGGAGAATGGCAGCGGAAGTTAAAATGAGCACATACCAACAAGTTGTGAAGAAGTACCATGACAACAAGGTTGGGCCGCGGTACTTCCAAGTTGGAGAGGAAGTCCTACGAAGAAGAGAAGCAAGTAGACCCAGCGATGGAGGAAAGCTGGCAAAAAACTGGGAAGGCCCATACAGGGTTAGAGCCATCATTCGCCCAGGAACCTACCGGTTAGAAACTTTAGATGGTGTACCGATAGAAAGAACTTGGAATTCCCACCATCTTCGCAAGTTCTACAAATGATTGTAATACTAGGCGAGACCTAACTACATTATCAATCAAAGTAATGTTCAATACTCTACTTGGTAGCGGCGGAATTAATAAGTCGAACCTATCCTAGGAGGACTTCCTGGGTGGATCGAATCCACTTGGATAAGCCAACTGAGACATAGGCCCGGACCTGGCACGCTGGTTACTACACTGGTCTTGCTCAGTATAATAGAAAAAATATTAAAACCCAGAAGAGGGGCCCGGAAGAGGGTATGCCTGCAAGAGGGCTGGACCTGGAAGAGGGTTCGAACCGTACTTACACGGGCCCATGAGGTTTGACTGGTGTCGGGGAATCAGCCGGCGCCGTCAAATTGATTGGGGACTAAAAGATGCCCATTAAAAAAAATAGAAGGGGATCGTCCACTGTGGCGCATCCTGTTTCCCCCTTCTCAGGGAAGACTTGAACGGGGGGGTGAGCTAAGGCCTTCCCGGGATGGTAGAAATCAAAGGGCCATTAAAAGATTTAATCACCCGGAAGAGGGGGCCCTGGAAGAAGGGTGCATTTGGACCTTGGAGAGGGTTCGAAACCATTCGACATGGTTAAATCTCCAGTATTCTTACCGGTCAAGGATACTTCAAGAATTACTAGGTTACAGGTGTTTCCATCTACAACCTACTGATAAAAAAAAAGAAAAAAGAATACCCCGGTCGGGTATGGGCACAACAGAACTTCGAAAGTTCCACATCCATCGAAAGGCAAGGCAGTTGACCGGTCAAACCATGGAGTGGGAATTCACCGGTCAAATAAAACTTTGTCGAAGGATTCGTGAAGCCATCCAAAAAGCAAAAGTGAAGTTCAGCCGGTTCACTTTAGTTCAACCGGGTTGGACTTAGCATATGCAAAAACGAGCCAAGAAAGCGAAAATGGAAGTTTGACCGGTCAAAGTTACTCGAGCTAATCCTTCAGATAAAGTGATCAAAGAGAACTTTGAAGTCCTCCCGGTCAGAAACAATTGGGAAGTGGTCTGATTGGGCTACCGATCAGAATTTATAAGAAGCAAGAACAAAAATATCAATCAAGAAACAAGCAGATATGCAAGATCAACCAGTATGGAAATTAAACATGGCATTCAATTAAAATGAAAATGTTAAGTGTTTACAGCTACACCGGGCATCCCCGGGGAAATTTCAAGTTGAGGTTTTACAAACACAACCTGTCTAGGCCGAGGAGATCCTAATCTAAGGGGAAAGGGGGAGTAGGCTCTTCCTCTGGGATAGGAGCCAGGCCGTAAGAAGCTGCAGTGAAGGCCGGGTCTCTCTTCAGGAGGATCCGGTGGGAAGCTGCTCGGTCTTTCTTTTGACCGCACTTGAATCTGAAAGATCCAACGGCGGTAATCATCTTCTTCCCTTCAGGCTCCCGGTACAGGAGCCTGAAGGACTCCATCGTGGCTTCCGGCGTCGCCGTCATCACCCGGGCAGCAGCGGCTTTGTTCTTCTTCCACCCAGGCAGCTGCGCGCCCGGGGAAGGTTTCTTCCTTCTCCGCCATTTCCCTCTTGGCCTCAGAGACTTCGTCCATGAGCCGGCCATTCTCCTCCTTCAGCTGGGAGATCTCGGTCTTCATGGCCCCGGCTAGCCCAGACAGCCTGATCAGCTCATCAGCCTGGCTCTTCAAGATGAGGGCCATCTCTTCTTTCTCCCTCTTCAGCCGGTCGACTTCAGAAGGGGAACCCATCCCCAACCGGTCCACTGTGTGCGACCCAATCTCCCCCGCTTGCACAAAAACGAAACATACCGGTAAGTTTCTCGATAGAGGAAAAAGAAAACAAAGACCGGGATAGCGGCAGGACTTACCTCCTTCAGCCTCAGCCCCAGAATAATGAAGGCCTCTTCAATGGTCTGGCCGGCCGGCTCAGGATCCGACCTTGCCCTCTTCTTGGCATAGGAAGGGTGCGTGGTAGCCACCTTCTTCATCCGTCGACCGGTCTTTTCCTTTTCCTTCCCCTTAGACCGGTTGTCTTGGGGCTCATCTTTGTCGAGGATCTCCACGGTCTCTGGATTGACCAGGAAGGTTCTGGCAGTATTGGCTTGGGAGCCCCCGGTCTCTCCGGCTGGTTGGTCGTCAGGGATGGCGAACTCCTCGAACTCCATATCTGCAAGAGAAGCTAAAATCGTTAAGTACAAGGAGAGACACCGGTCAGCTACAAAACACAAGAAAAATGAGAAATACCTGGGTGGTTTTGGCCCTCAGCATCTGCAGCGTTGCCCGAGGAGGGTACCCCGCGCCCCGCTGCTTCATGGGCCTGGGAGGTACCCTCACCACCCGACTCGACCCTCCAGACCCAGCTGCCATAATGGAAGATCCTCCCAGTGAAAGGATCACCGCGCATAAGGACCTCAAGATTCGCTTCCAAGTCTGGGGAGGAAGCCGGTGCAGCATACTCTTGGTCGAGGAGATGGTCATTCCATTTCAGACCGGCCAGAGGAGTGACGAAGGGGGGAAACTCGATGAAAACAAACTTTTCCTTCCATCCCCGGTTACTTTGGGGGACTTCGAAAATGAACTTCCTACCGGTACGGGCTTTGAAGAATACAAAACCTTCGCAGCCAGATTCGCCCGGTAGGACTTCAAAGCAAAAGAGAAAAAGACGCAAAGAGGGGAAGATTTTCAAATGAGTACAGATAGTTACGAAGGAATGGAGATACCGGTGGGCGTTAGGTGTTATTTGACCGGGCAAAATCCTAAACGCATGGCAGACTTCGGTAAGGAGGGGGCGAAGGGGAAAAACTATGCCCGCATCCAGTGATATGGTATGGAACCCTATCCTGTCCTCCCGGTGGGGTTCGACAATGTTGGGCCAGTTGGGTTCATACAGGAGGGTATACCCATCCGGGAGCCTCCTACGAATTTTATTCAGAGCGATTTTGGATACACGGAAAGGGATGTCAAGGACGTAGAAAGTGGGAAGCGGAAAGTAACCGGCAGCATGAAGCCGCTCCTCCCACGCATCCCGGGTTTCGTGTTCAGGGTCATAGGGACCCGGTTCGTCATCGACCGGGTCATCCCTCCCCACGAAAGTTTCACCGGGCATCTGGTTAACAGGATGCGGGTCGGGAATAGAGGAGTTGGGAACCTGACCGGGCGTGGATTCAGGAGAAGAAGACCCGGTCGAGGAAGATGAGTTGGAGTCCTCAGAGGAGCAGTCCCCTGAGGACGTGATCCTATCGCTAAACTAAGACATGGCCGGGAAAGAAAAAAGAGAAGGAAGGGGAACTTACTTGACTCGGAGGGCTGGATAGCGAAAGAGAAGGAACTTGACCGGTGAAAGCTCTGAGACTTGATCGCGGAAAGTGAACAAAGAAGAGGGGTGGAGGCCTTTATATAGGAAGAGGGGGGCTTAAAGGAGTGACGTGGCCTCTCTAGGTTGCGCCGCGTCAGGCGGCGCAATGATGACCTATTGGCAGGCGAAACGACGGGTGGGCCGCCGACAGTTGCAACGACGTGTGTCCAACACGTGTCAGAAGCTCTAAGTTCAAATTTCAAATTTTGAGATTTTCGGGCGGGAAAAGCCTGAAATTCAAATTTGAGGTCCCGTTTTAGACTTTTTACTTCCCGCTCATGACAAATTGCATGACCGAGAAGTGGAGGGCTTATTGATGGGTGTATTCCACCCATGACCGGTCAAAGAAGAAGACCAATTAGTTGACCGGTCAATCTCGAAAGTTTTGGAAGGAATACTTAAATCGTCAGCAAAACGATATATAATCGGCCAAAAGATGACCGGTATACTTTACGAAAAAGTATACCGGTCAAACTACGTTGTCATCCTATTTGTTCCCAGACTTCGATGAATTCACCCCTCGGAGATTACCCGGTGTAGTTTCTAGGGTTGGAAAGTGTCGGCAGAAGAGAATCTATGAGGGCTTGGCGTGTAGCGACCCATGTCAGTAGAGGACAACTGGAGATGCTGGAGAATCCATCCAAGGCACTACTCGACAAAGGGAATAATCCCCCTCACAAGGCGACAAGGCAGCTCAAGGACGAAACCAGTCACCTCGCACCACATCAGCATCGTGCCCCCACGTGGGCGCACGTGGTCCTGTCCCCCCTAGCCTAGTATAAATACTCATGTAAACCTCAGAAAGAGGGATCCGAGTTCATTCTCTCTAAACTCCCTTGTAAAACACCCGTGCATTCTCCGTTATAATACAAACTGGGCTACAGGTGTTCCACCTAAAGTCCTACCGGTCAATCTGCGTGTTTTTTACTTTTCTTACTTTACCAAATCAAGCAAACTATTCTAGACCCGGTCTAGTGTAGTTTGACCGGTCAAGTAATTTACACCATCAACCATATTTTATTATTTTTTCAGAATAAGATCGTTATCGTTATGTAGTCATAACTACTCACGTCATCCATTTGATCGTCATAATCAATATTTATTATCAACGACATTTCATTATGGTTTATCCATTATAATAATCATTCAATCAGAATATTATCAAGGTTTGATCGTAATAAATATTCAATAATAGTCATCAATACGTTCATTAACAAATAGCAGTCTAGCGTCGAGTGTTAAAACCCTAGCTTACCGTCATGCATCAAACAAAATTTTTGAATCTGTCAAAACATCATTTTTATTTCTAGAAATCATATTCATACTGGTCATAATTGATTGGTATCAAAAATAGGATTTATGATTCAAAAATCGTATTTTCTAGAAAAATATCGGATCAGACGGTACCCCTCACGGTACCTCGGTACCGGCTAACGGTACCTTAGTACCATGCCAAAGCTACAGGGTACCGCAGGTCATCAGATACCGCCAGAGATATCCTTTTTTGACAATAGCATCTCTACCGTTCTAGCGGTAGATGGGTACCATTTGGACGATACCTAGCTATTGTGCCAGCGGTAGCATGATACCGGGCACTGTTCATCGTCTTCATCCTCGGGTCCATTTTCGGAAATATCATTTTTAGTCACCAAACTTCAATTAAACTATATATAAATTTTCTCTAATGTTTATAGATCATTTTGGTATCATTAGTGCATAGTTTTAACAACAATTTCAAGGTTTATTGGTACTTCAAACATGTCAAACATAAAACTCAACCAAACCACCGTTTATGAACGTAAAAACAATCTATACGAACATTCTAGTCATTAGATATATCTACGGGCTTACCTCGGACTTACACGGAGGTTTTGGAAATTTTCCGGCAAAACTTCCAGCGACGATAACTCTTAGGTCCGGCGACTGCACGCCAAATTGACAGCCCCACTGCATTCTCCCCACTTAGAGCAACAGAATAGAAGGAAGAAAGCAGAGAATTGGTGATGAATTTGGAATGGAAGATGTTCCTTATATAGGAAAGGTATGGGGAAGAAGCAAGGCCATTTTGGCATAGAATTTCCTTAGTGCGCAGGATGTCACTTCTCTTGAATTCGGTTTGCATTGTTTCAATCAGATAGTCAAAGTCTATCTAATGATATAATTTTTATATTTATTTATAGTAATTTTTCGTACATCATATTTTGGATAATTGACTTTGACAGAGTCAAAATTTATTTTATTGACCTTTATCATAAAAGGTTTTCACATTTAATTTAAATTACTTATTCTCGTGATTTATTTCAATAAACCATTTGAATATGATAAACAAATTCTTCATTTTATTCATTAATTTGGGTCTGTACTTAGGTTCCCAATTAAGGTTACACAATAAGTCAACATATTGTATTTATCTCTATGAGATTTATCTAGATTGTGATATTGGATATCAAAACACAATTTATTTTGGCCCAAAGCCCAACAATAATTTATTTTAATCAAAACAAATTTAATTAATTGAATAATTATTCATTAATAATTTTACGGTATGTTTTGGGGCATTACATGACATCTCTAGCACACAAGTAAAACGGGTGAATTCCCTGTTTGTGTAACATACTTCCACTTCATTCCTTTATATGCAATGTGAAAATACCTTTTCCCCCATAATACCAACCGGATTTGGCTAATCCGTTTTGATGCATATTATTTAACCAAACAGATTAGGCTAATCTGTTCCTCTCATTTAATTACAAAACGGATTAGCCTAATCTGTTTCACTATTTATTTATTTTTTGTAATTTTCTTTAATTATCAAACGGATTTGTTGCTTTGTTCCAAATAATTTTTTTTCCTTTTAATTTTTTTTAGATATTTTAACTCCTCTTTTATAAACTTTTTTAACAAATTAACTCCACTTTTATAAACTTTTTTTAAAAAATTTTTCTAACTTTATTTTATTAAAATATTGTATTATAAAAATTTTTAAATTTTTAGCTTCTGAATGAAATCAATTAACTTTTGTTACTTTTAAATTATTTATAAGAAACCAAATTAATTACAAAGTAAAGGAAACATACATAAAGAATACGTAAATAATATACTACAATAAAATTTTAAACAAAATACTATTTATTGACTTTAAGTGGTTTTTATATAACGAGATTAAAAGAAGAAGACAAAATACAATAAGTTTATTGCTAGAGTACATATAACAATTTATTCATAAAAAGAAGAAGCCAAAACACAATCAATGACTAACTTATTTGTAAAATTTAATAATACATAAACTCAGACATAATTGAAATTCATGACAAAGCTATTCCTCGTTGCGATGTCTCCGTGGTCGATAGTCCATGTTATTCGGATAGCGGGTTCTCGTAGGTCGGCTGGTTCATGTGGTCTGTCGTAGCGTTGGCCTCAGGATCTCTTACTCTGGAGTAGGCCATTCAGACTCATCTGGTTGCGGCATTATGATGCCAGAGTAAGCGTTGATGTAGGATTGAAATGAAAAAACATTTGGAATCAAATGATCCACGGTGACACTACAGTAATGATAAACTACGTGGACATGATTGCACGGGAGGTGAAATGTTACCCATTGACCACAGCTACATGTTCGTGCATTTAAGTTCACCGTAAATGTCTCCCGTTGAGCAATGTAGGACGACCCATCCACCACCACAGAGTATATTGTTGAACAACTTACGCACCTCTAGAGGGGAGGTGAATAGAGGTCTTCAAAAATCAAGAACTTTTGGAAGAACAAAAATTCGCAGGAGTATATCAAGGTGTTCTTGTGTTTCTACTTCACTTCCTCGTTGTGTGCTACATAGGACCAAGCCGGATTACGGATGTAGGTCAGGGGCTTCGTTTGCACGGGCTCTAAGGTGATTGAAGCAGTTTGAATTGCCTCAAACTGTTAGGCTAATGTTGTCGAGAACTTGAATTCGCAAGCCTCTAACCTTTCCACCGAAGTCTTGATTTCACAAGACTCAGGATTTCTCTCCAAAACTTGAATTATATCAACTTCAAGTTTTCACAATTCACACACTGTTTCAAAACAAAGTGCACAGCGGAAATACTCTTCAAATTAAGAGTGGATTGCTGTAGAATACAAGAACTTATAGAGTATGGCACACTAGTACTCTTCAAAACTCAAGCAAATATTGATTTCTTGAAGAATTGCTTGGAAGTAATGTTGAAGGATCAAAAGTATGAATTGAATTGCTTGGATTTTTTTGAAGAATATGTTTGAATGAATATAAATATTGTTCTCCAAGCAAAAGAGCCGTTGTATGTGAGTTATGGAAGATAGGGATGAATAACTTCCTTAAAAAACTAACAAATTTGCAGTTCAAACTGACGACTTATTCGAATAAAATCAGATTTATCCGAATAGTTCAGAACGAAAAACGCAGACTTATTCGACTAAGGGAATATTTATTCGAATAAGTCACTGTAGGATTGAAGAAATGAGCTTCAGGACTTATTCGAATAATTTGCTAACTATTCGAATAAGTCAGAACTGAAAACTCTACCTTATTCGAATAAAACAAGATTTATTCGAATAGTTTTCACAGTTTTGAAAAAGTAATTTTGCAACTGACTCAAAAACAATTTAAAGGGTTTTTGGAAAACATTTTCAAACTAACGTGCCATAGACTTTAACAAAAATGCTAAGATCAAAACAAAAAAACAAAAACACTATATCTTCACACTTGTCTTGAGATCCAACGCATGATTGTGAAGATCAACATCCAAAGTGCCAAGCCCATGAGATAGTTGTCATTATAAAAACACAAGGGCCAACAATTTCCCCCTTTTTGATAATGACAAACCCAACTTATCAAATGCTTGGGCTTGATTCCAACTAATATATGTTTTCAACAAATATAACAAGAGCACACAAGACAATACAAGTAAAGAGTTTTAAAGAAAGAGTTTAGAGTACTTCTCTTACTTCCCCCTTAATGATTGCACTGCAACAAGCACAAGCACATACTCTTCCCCCTTTTGTCATAAGCAAAAAGGGTGAAGGACAAAAGAAACACTGGGTTATCAAAACACAAGTAGTAATGGGAGATAGCAAAGTCGAATTAATCAAAAACAAAAGAGTAAAGAGTTAGATAAATAGTTTAGAACATAATATAAGTGCCCCATCCACTCATTCCGCATCCATGGCAGCATCAACAAGAGTAGTCTCATCACCAGCAACTCCCCTCTTCGAGCGACTCCCGTTGGTCGTACCTCTTCGAGCGACTCCCGTTGGTCGTACCTCTTCGAGCGCCATCATCACCATCGTCATCGGCATCATCATCATTGTCATCATCATCATCATCATCATCATTCCCAGCACCATGCGAAGTAGAGGAGGAAGAACCATGACCCATATATGGTTGTAGCATATCCAGAGATGGAGACTCCCATTGCTCACCATGTTTTACCAACAACTTGTTTAAATTATACCCATGAATTGCTTGTTGACGGCGAATATCTTGTAAGGACTCGAAGAGCATGGGCAGGGTCACTTTTCCATTAGACGTGGCAAAACGGCGTTCGGATGGTCCAGAACGCACACGATTCTCTTCATTTGTATCATGCATAGCCCGCATCACAGTTTCCCGTTTGATCCTCCAAAATGGTGTCTCAGGTTTCATATCCTCATTGGCAAAAACAAATCCCTTTTTCTTCAACAAGAATGTAAGAAGAATGGGATAGGGTAGAGCTCTCGCTCTCGCACGGCAATGATGCATATAACTCATAATGTACTTACCCCAATTGACTTTGACAGGTTTAAGAATTGCATAAATGAGCATAGAATCATCTTTGCTCATTTGGGGATGATTTCCAGCTCGACCCCGCAAGATGTAAGAAGAAATGTACTGAAGCAAGCGTTGAGGGGGCTGCATCCCACTAACCATTGGCCTGCCCGAATCATTGAGCTGAGGTTGAAAACCCATTTCTTCCCAACATAGCCTTTCATCAAAAGTGTACCAAAAATTTGTAGAAACCTTTGCAGTAGAGAGTTCAGCCTTACAATTGTCAAGCCCAAACAAAGTATTCAACTCCGAACAAGTAATAACAACAGTCTTGCCACAAAAAGTTGAAGATATCACATAATTGGAGTTTTGACGTTTGAAGGTCATAGCGGCATAGAAGGCTTTGATATGGTCAAATCGAACGTGACTCTCACGAAAAGAGATAACATTCAATAAGCCCGAAGTACGAAGCTTAGTAAGAACTGAAACAAAGGATTGGTCATTTTCAAATACACGAGCATCAACATATCTCGGAGCAACGATTTTTCGCGAAAGAAGACGATTTGTAAAAAAGTGCAAAGAATCTTCATCATCAAAGAAAATTTTGGGCTTCATAGAGTAAACAAATTCAGATTCACCTGAGGAATTGCCCGGATTTGAGGTTTCTACACGAGAAGAAGTGTGACGAGGGCAAATCGTTCTCTTCTTTGAAGTGGATATGACGAAACTGAGAGAAGAAGACCAGATGGAGCCTGCGTCCCTGAGGAAGTGCGAAGAAGATGAAGCGTGTCGCCTAGGGTAGTGCACGGCGAAGAGCAGCGACGAGGAAGATAGACCACCGTCGCCTAGGGTTTCTGCACGACAGCGATTTGCGCCCTGGAGTGATATATTGGAGGCGGCGGCTGCGTGGCAACTGCGAGAGAGGAGTACAGCGTTGAGGTCGGCGAGGAAGAAGAAGTTTCTCGGTGTGCGTGAGTTGCTGTGCGGCGAGGAAAAAAAAGGTTTTGAGATAAGGTTGGGTAAATGAGTGGACTTAAATTTGAATAAAGGAACCCGGGCACAGTAACTTAGTTGAATATGTTTGGAACTAGTCGAATAAACCAGAACAAAGCAAATCTGAGGAGCCCTGAACTAGTCGACTAGTTTCACTTTTAGTCGACTAAACAATTGAAGCCGAGGATAGAATAATATCGTCAGGGTTTTATTCGAATAAGTATGTAGTTATTCAAACAAATCAGCAGAAACCATAGAATCAATGAGAAAATCTTCAACCATTGAATCTCTATATTCAAACCAAAATCCCCCCTTAATAAATGCTTTCTATGGAGTGCGGAAGAGGAGTGGATGGACAGAAACCTGCAAAAAAGACTTAAAAAACACTCTGATGCTTAAGTTAGTACAAAATTCAATGAAAATAATTAAAAGAACTTAGTTAATAGCAATAATTCCTAAGGCATTTCTAATACGACTAAAATTCTCACGGTCCAAGGGTTTAGTAAATATGTCGGCCAACTGATTAGTTGTATCAACAAACTCAATGTCAACATCACCCTTTTGGACATGGTCTCTAATAAAGTGATGTCGAATATCTATATGCTTAGTACGAGAATGGTGAACAGGATTCTTCGTAATATTTATGGCGCTCATATTATCACAACGCAAAGGAATGTGATCAAGTACAAGGCCATAGTCCAAAAGTTGTTGTTTCATCCAAAGGATTTGTGCACAACAACTCCCCGCAGCGACATACTCAGCCTCGGCGGTGGACAAAGCAACACTTACTTGCTTCTTGCTTCCGATTTTGCATCCGGCAAAATCGGAATCAGAATACCCAACAAGAGTGCATGTTGAACCTTTGGGATACCAAAGTCCCAAGTTCAAGGTGCCTCTCACATACTTAAGGATCCGTTTGACAGCGGTCAAATGAGATTCCTTAGGGTTCGCTTGAAATCTAGCACACATACAAACACTAAACATCAAATCAGGTCTACTAGCAGATAAATAAAGTAAAGAACCTATCATACCTCGATACCGTTTCACATCAACCGACTTACCACTTTCATCTTTATCAAGTGAGCATTGAGAACTCATTGGGGTAGCCATTTCTTTACAATCTTCCATCTCAAATTTCTTGAGAAGTTCTTTTGAGTACTTCGTTTGCCTAAGAAATGTCCCATGTTCAAGTTGTCGAATTTGAAGACCGAGGAAGAAATTTAGTTCTCCCATCATTCACATTTCGAACTCCCCTTGCATAATCTTAGTAAATTCCTCACACATAAGATCATTAGTAGCACCAAAAATAATGTCATCAACATAGATTTGTACTAAAAGCATGTCAAGAGCATTATGCTTAATGAAGAGTGTGGTGTCTACCTTTCCTCTTTGAAATCCATTCTCCAAGAGATGCGAACTCAAACGTTCATACCAAGCTCTTGGGGCTTGTTTAAGTCCGTA